GGGGGAGGGGTCAGAGGGTCAGAGGGGACAGTCTTTTACGGACTGTCTAAAAAAATAGTCCGGGTGGGGGGAGAGGGGCGTGAGCATTTACGACGCCGAGAGAACTTATTTCTACAGTCGGTTCTGATAAAGCTGCCAGTGGACGTGTCGGTTGTAGCTACAACTGTGTCGCCGTCGCCACAAACAAGGACGTGGCCCCCGGCCCCCGACCCGTGCACACTGCGAGGGGAACGCCGGGGCAATGGCTGAGGACGCCTGGAGGGTAGGCGATCAGTACACAAGCTGTCGCGTAGGTTGTGGAGGGGGGGGGGGGGCATTGTGTTAGTTTAGATGCGTCCATCCCCTTTCGGCTTGTCAGGGATTCTGTGCAGAACAGGTCCTTGCCTTCTGCTGAGTACACCCTGTAGGTGTCGGATTTTCTATTACCCGAAAAAGAATGTTCTATAGTCGGGTCGGATTAAGCTGACTCTGGCCGCCGGCATTGTGGCCACAAATAGGGACGTAGGGGTATCGCCCCCGTGCGTACTGCGTGGGGAACGCCGGGGCAAGTTGTAGCTGAGGGCGCCTGGAGGGTAGGCAATCAGTAGACGAAATGGCTAAAAGTGACTAAAAACGACTGAAACTTGATTAAAAATTATAAAACTGCAAATAATGAAAAGTGACCAAACAGTGATGACGTTTTGGCGCACATATTATATCTTTGATTTAAAGCCCTTCCCATTGACTAGACTCAAGGAGGAATTTGAGCCCTGGTTGTCACAATGATGTCGAAATGGTCCCTAATTTTGATGTCTTTCTGTACTCATCCTGACGTCATGGTGACTCAATGTGACGTCTGTAAGTCAAATATTGGTCACAATGGGATCAGGGCTCAAATTCATCCATGGTAATGGTTGTGGTGTGATTTTGGCAGTTAAATAATACCCATTTTAAATTAAATAAAAAATAAATTAAAGAAACCAATGAAATTGAAGAACTGAGTCCCTTTTACTGGTTGGTAAGTTAGAAATTTGTTTCTTTGTTTGCAGTTGGCAAGTATGTCTTAAAACATTAAAGAAAGATTATAGAAAATACGCATTTTATTTGATGAAATTTATGAATTAACAACTTTTAGGACAGCAGACAACTGCCACACTATTTTGGAGTTAAGGGGAACAGACAGTAATTGGGAATACCAACAACATAATTTGTCTTCCTGAAGAAAAATATGCCACTTTAAATATCTTGTGAGGCAATTACCAAAATTTTTGTTAGATATGTCTAAAGTGTGCAATATTTTCTGTTAAGCAAGAGCTTTAGATCATTGTCACAAAAATTATTGACTCTAAATTAACTGCTTGCAAAATAAAGGTTTGCCTTGGGATTCATTTTTTTTTGTATTTTCATGGATTGTATAACAGCTCTGTCCTTAATTAAGACAAAACTAAAGATGGTTATATCTGCACTTTCCCATGGGGAATTTGAAATTTTCTTACATTTCTCACAGAGAACTTGCATATGCTTTTACATTGGTAATCACACATCTATGCAAATAACAACAGGAGGTTTAACTAGTATTCATATCTTCACAAAATAAACAACAATGAGCAAACTACATAAAAATAGTTATAGTCAAGGTTTATAATTACTTAAAAGGTTATCACAAAAGCTAGAATGCCAAATTGTAAGAAACTTCATTTCTTAATGCATTCAGAACATTGGTAATTTTTTATAAAATACTAGTAACAGAAAATAAAAACTAAAAAGAAAAGAAAAAAAAGACTTGTCTGATGCAACTAAAAAATTATAGGGTTTGGTGTATCAACAATCAGAAAATATTGGATGGGGATTATGTGATGCTAATTACAGGAGAAGAAGAGACACAAAACAGAAGGAAGTACAAAATTATAAGAAGAAAATAGGTTGTGTGCCTGTTAAGTTAAGATAAATAGAATTAGATAGAAAATGTTTAAATATACCGCCTCAACAATAAACATTCAAATTATCAATCCTATTTCTGATACAGTAGCAAAATTTTTTTGGAGGTTTAGCTGAGTTCAATGAAATCATAGAAATGAGACAGGTACAACACGCTTCACAGGAAGTAGAGGTTTGAATCAGGCTATGTGCATCAAAGAAGTTTCACATAAAACATGACGCACTAGCGTCAAGGTCATACATCACAGATATTTTCATTTTCAGTAACCTGAAGAATTACAGCATCACAGCACCTAAGGCACAACAGAGCATGCCCTCCCATCTAAATACCCTGCCTCCAATTCTGTTTCATCTTCTGACTCACTTATTGAGAGATCAACAATAGCTTTGCCCCCAGAAACACATGGGGCAGACAATGTAGTATTTTGAGGCACAGTACTATGATCTTTATCATCATCTTCTTCAGGATTTGTTGTCTCTTCCAGTCTTATCAGTTCCTCCTCCTGCTGGCCCATCCTCTTAACACACAAATTGAGCATTTTACCCGCATTGATGGTGAATGAGCTGTCAGGGCCTAGATAATTGCAATAAATTGGATTCAAAGAGTAACTATGACATCAGAAAATGATAGTGGTAACACTAAAGGAAACATACCATTAAAAGTTGAGGAGTTCTGAACAATTTGGTGGACATCCTCTAAGAAATCCTTCCTACTTCTATATTTTCTCTGTCTTATGTTTTCTCTGATAGTTTGGAGATCCATGGGACGTGAAATAAGTGTATAATAATGTGGTAAAACCTTAAAAAGAAAATTTTAACGAATTCACATTTTTGTTGATGTACCAAAATGTATCATACATATACTTGGATTGTCCATCTCACCTTGGCATTAACTGGAAAATGGAATGGATCACTATCGGGTAAATCTCTCATCTCATTTAAAATTCCTTCAAAAGCATTAGAAAGGAGAATTAAAGGATCTACTCGTCGGCGATTAACAGGCCTTTGATATTTTTCTAAATAGTCACAATGTTGGTCAATCATAGCCCGTTTGCGTTTGCGGACTAGGTCTTTTGGAACTCGTAGAACTAGTGTTTTCTTTTTCATTTCCTCAGCTCTCTGCAAATAAAACATCATGGAAATTATTAAGTAAGTGCACGCAGTATCACATTTTGGAGCAAGAATATGATAAGAAATACTGTACCTTAATGAGCTTCACACTAAGTTTCAGTTTAGTGCCATCAACATTTATGAGATTCTGATCGTCAACATTCATCTGTTTCTGATATTCTTCCTCTTCTTCTTCAGTCATTGCCACATTTAGAGGTCCAAAGTACTGAGGACAGGCCTTATTGCCCTTTTTATGACCAGGCTGTAAGTTTTCAAAAATATGTTAATCGTGCAGGGACCAGGACCACGGCACATGATACAAATTTAACATGTTGATTCACATCAACACAAGTTTTCAAAACTTACATTACCACAAGCCCTACATCTTCGCTTAGGGTCAATACGCGAGTTCATTGATTTCTTGTTTGGCGGACTGATGAAGGCTTTTGAAGTGCTTTCCACTCCTTGAACTAGATTGTCTTCATGGGACTTCATAACAGATCCTGGTTCTGACATAGCCTTACTTGAATCTTGCTTAAGGCCTGCCAAAAGAATAAAATTATGCACACAGATCACAATAGCCGTTCTTCAAGTACGTGAATCAAAGACGCTTACCTAGAATTTGCTCACGCTGTTTAATCCTCTGAAGCTGAGTTTCAATATTACGCTTTTCTCGTAACATTTTCTGTTTTTCCGCACTTTCTAGTGCTGCAAACTGACTAATGAATGCTTCATCTTTGGTAGCACGGATCTTTAGATAAATATCAATAACAGAACTTTTCCTAACAAACTCGACGCGGGTATATTCTTTCCCATTGGAATCCCGGAATGTTCGATTTATTTTCAACACTCGATCTGTAGCAAAACAAACTAGTTAGGTTTACAGATATTTTAAAATGGCAAGATAACAATATTATACTATTGAATAGTACTCACCAGGTTGTGGTCCACTATGAGCATCCTTCAGATCATGCTTTTTCTTTTTGTCTTTGCTGGTGCTCTGCTTTGGGGCATTTTCATCCATCATCATTTTAACGAGGTCTTCTCTTTCTTTCTCTTCATTTTCAGTGCGAAGCTATAAGAACAGAAAAAATTAAATTTCAGGGAAATGTATGATATAAATTCTTTCTACAAAAGCAAAATATGCTTTGGGAAATGATCAATTTAATAGTAATTCCAATTCCATACCTCAGAAAAGCTCCTTCCATTAGAAATTAGTTTTTCTAGAACTTTGCCCATTTCCTCTACATCAGATCCATCATCATCAGTCACGTCCTCCTCATCTGATGACAATTCTTCATTTGACTGCAAAGTTTGATTTTGAAGGTCAAATATTCTTTGACACTCTTCTTTGTATCTATGAGATGAAGTTTACAAAATACAATTGGTGAGAATGAGTAATGACTTGAATTCAGCGCAATAGCAACATTTACTGATATTCAGCATAGGAATACAGTGAACCAAAAAAAAACTTACTTGGCAACATGCTCAGCTGTAGTCATTGGTCTAACTTTGGGCCCCTTGGCAACTCTACCTCGTCCTCTACCTTTTTTCTTTGAAGCTGTACGAGCAATCTCTATAAGTTCCCAAGGAGAAAGTCTTTTAATCTGTCACAGAAAATAATTCAAGAAATTATTGTGTAACAGATAACTGTACATCACTCTAGTTCTGCCCACTTTAAAGTGATTTAAAGTTATTCAATTAAATTCAACAGAAATTATTTAAGGCAATTCAAAAATAATAGAACAATTCAAAAAGTTCAAGGCAACTTAAGCTTATTCAGTAAAATAAAGTCTCAATACTTCAGTACAATTTAAGAACAATTAAAAAAATGTAGTCTAATTCAATCATATTTAATTCAAAAAATTTGTGCACCCAATTCACAAGTTATTTCCCTACATAAATATATAGTTTCAAGAGTAGCCAAAGTTTATACCAAAGCAGTTGTTGGTCTCCTTACCTCTTTATCAGGAACACCCATCTTTTTCAGAAGTACCTTAGCATTGGTCACAGATGGCTTTTCACGTGCAATATTAGTAGAAGAATCTTCTACTACAAGCTGCTTCTAAAGTAATTGATTAAATGGGTTACTTCCTAACTCTCTTCAGAGCTACTTAGACACAAATACCAGAACACATACCTTTGGTTTGTTGGATCGCGTCAGATAAGAAAACCCTTCACCACAGCCAGTAGGATCTGCTATACCAGTCAAATCCAATAGGCATTTGCCATTCATTGACTGAATGAATCCTCTTGTCAAGTTCCATGGAGCCACTTTAACTTCGTCATCTATTTTTAGTTGCAGTCCTTCATCATCATCATCTTCTTCTTCAGGTGGCACGAAAAGCATATTGCCTCCATAACCAGCATCCTAGCATTGTGAGGAGATAAATAACTGTCAGACTGCTAATGGTAATTAAAGGAATGGCGTTGAAGAGGAAAGACCAGAGAGAACTTTTACCTTGAGTCTTTGCAGGGCTGCCAGCATGCTGAATTGGGCGCAGCATTGTTCTGGAGTCACCATACTTCTCAATTCTTCCTCACTGGGTAAACGGAAGTCAGGTCTTAAGACCCAGCAATTAGAATCCATAACTGAAAGAAAGATATGATTGGTTACACACTATGGAAAATATAAAGACTAGGAAGAGTAATGATATCGATTAGAAACCTACAGTCAACTCTTTTAAAATCTGAGCATAATTTCAAGCATTTCCTAATATTCAAATCATTAATATCTGGGAATGCCCTTTTTATTTCTTCCATTTTCACCCACTGTGGTTTGTCTGGACAGTTGAGAAACATTCTAAATATATGGAGCTGTCAAAATAAAAAGAATTTGGTTTAATGAAGAAAGAGTTACAGTAAAGACATCCACTTGTACATAAGACAAGGCACTACCTGGAGAAAGTCTCTTGTGAAATTTGTTGCACATCTTGAATTTGGTGCAGGCACTTCATATAAGGGACACTGTTGGCCAGCCACAAATAGAGCATCAACCTCTCGGATAGAGAAACTGTGTCGAGTTCTAATAACCAGAAAGTCTGTTTCTTGTATTTTATGTTCAAAAATGGGACAACGGAAAAGGTTGTTCTCAACTGCCTGAACACATTGACCTTGGGAGAGAACACCCAAAAATGGTGATGTATGGGGGTACACAACATCTCCATACTTATGAGGGGGAGGGCCTTGATCTTTGCTGGCCTTGCGTTTATAATAATTTATAACTTTAGAACACATGCCACACTGAAAAATAAAAATACAATACAGTAGATGTAGTAGGATGAATGAGTATACTGTTATAAATGTAAAAATTTATTTAATTTTATATTACATACCTCATTCATAATCAATGGATGCTCCTCACTAAACTCTACAAGTACAAGGTCACCATCTCTTCCAGATAAATCATCTGGTTCTCGCATGAAAAACACATCACCTCCACCAGAAGCTTGTCTTTCTTCTTCTCTAGCCTGAGCAGAAAAGATCAAGATTTTAGAGAAATTATTCGAGTATTTTCATTCAGTGAAGATTAGGGATGATCACAGATACATAGAGTGATCAGATTAAATTTTCACCCTACTAACCTGAGCTTTCAAGCTGATCTCTTTGCTCAATGAGAATACTGGATGAGAAACAGGATTTGCAAGACGACCATGAGAATATCTTTTCAATGAGGGCCTGTGGAAGTTTTGCAGCCGTACAACACTAAAGTGAGTTGGTATGAAAGGCGGTCTCAACTCTAAGGCTGGGGTTGAATGTTGAATGATTTTTCCTATGGGTTTTAATCTTAGTGATGTATCGGAAGATTTGATGGCATAATAGCTAAATAATAATAGTAAAAAAAATATAAATTGTGGAAATAAAATTACCCAGAAACTTATTTACTGAGGTAGAAAATGATGATTAAGTACCTATCATTTGACACATTAAAGGGGTCTTCAAATGAGTACCGTGGTTCATCATCTTCACTAATAATCCTAATTCCAGTCTTCCCAATGACTATTTTTGAGCTTTTTATCCGTGGATGAGACAGTTTGATTACACTACTTTGTTGAGTAGACCATGATTGATGTGCATCAAAAACATCTTCTGGTACTCCCAGAATGAGATTGTCATCACTTGGGTCTAGTGTTGGTAGCCTAGGTTTTGGAATTTCTGGCATATTTTCAGCATCCCATATGACCTATAAGTTGAAATACATTTTATATGATTGAAGGCCTGACAGAAGATACATAAGCGCTGATCAACTTAAAAGTTAATTCTACATGTTCCTTACCTCTTTTTCCCACAACCCTGAAGTCAAATCCTCATTTTCAAATGGAAGAATGGCCTTTGAGGAATTGTCATCATTTCCTTCCTTAGATGTAGGAATTGGCATACAGTAAGGAGTTTTAAAAACACTGTTTCATAGAACAGAAACATTAGCATATTTAAGAATTATAATTTTAGACATTACAATAAAGATATTAATTTACTCACAATGGTCTGTTTGGGAAAAGACTACGGCCTCTTGGACCTTGTAAGTATCCCGGTAATCGGTGCTGCATAGTGTAATGGGAACCTATGAAACTTTTATCGGGTTGTGACTTTCCACCTACTTTCACCCATTTTAATTTCATTTGTTTCAGATCCTATAGTGCAATAAAAAAAAAGTATGCAATAAAAAGAGAGAATAAAACACATTTCATCATTAGATAATGAACTCCATACCTCTTGTGTTTTGTCACTACAATTCCAAATGACGTCTTTCTCCCACTCAAGCTGGTTTACCATAAGGAAAGCATCGTCAGGGAAAACCTTATCTTGACTAACACAGTCTTCAGGCTTCAATTGAAAAATTAGTAGAGTTATAAAGAAAGCGTTCAGACACAAAGTAATTTAGAAATACAACTCTACAGAAAATTACCTTATCTTTTAATTTGAATCCATAGGTAAAATTTTTGAAGTCAGTTGATTCCAACCGATCATACCATAACTGAGCAGGACCAAACCGCCAGTCAGAGACAATAACATCTTCACTATCTTCAGTTCCTTCTTCACATACTTTGAATTCAGTTCTAGATTCAATAGACTTGTCTTCTACCACCTCTTTGCTAGGGGAAACACAGGGTTGTTCCTAATGGGCATAAGTTATCAATTAGAACACGCTGTCAGACAATAAATTTAAAGAAGGATTTTAAAAAAAAACCTACAAACCTTTGATAAGTTTTCCAAAAAAATTACATCAATTGCTGGATGAAGCCATGGCATTTCACAATCATCACCAAAGTCACAGGCACCAGATGAAATATACTGCTGCATCAATCTTTTTCTGTTTGATTTGGAAGAGTCCTCTTCATCATCTTCCCATTGACGATTCTGAACAGAATGCCAAACTTCTTGTAAACATTTTGGCTGTCAAGACACAAAAGAATTTTTATTGATATTTATTTTCTAATACATTTAAATTGTTTAGTTGGAATGTTTCAATAAATGCAACACAAACCTTTTCTGCCTCAAATGCTGTCATCAGCTGGGCTAAGCCAGCGTACTTTGATAGTAACAGTTTTGGCAAAATCCCATTAGATTTAATTATCCTATTAGGAGGATGGCTTGGTACAGGGAACGGTACACTTGGCGGCACACTTTTAACTGTAACAGTGGCCTTGCTTTTCGGTGGTGCAAGAGGGGGCACATTTTCAACTGTGGCATTGCTATTAGGTCTATGCCGTTTAATTATTATTTTAAGAGGAACATGATCCAAGGATCGCTTAGCAGATGGTTTACCGACATCTGCTTCTTTGTCTTCATCACCCTCAGCCATTACAATCTGAAATACAGATGCCAAAATGAAAGCAAATAATCATGGGAAAAGCAATACAAAAATAAACATTACACCACAGAACAAAATCAGTATGACCAGAGGTACAGAGCAAAATAAAATGTGGTACAGCTAAGTTTCTAGAGACAAGATGGAACTCAAGAGAACAAAAGAGTACAGTATTCTGCCACAAAAATGATACAAGAAGCAAGAAGAACACACCAATTAATCAAAATAATATTGTGGCATAACAAAGGAAGCAAAAGCAACCAATAGGCTCAGACAGCTGTATGTTAAATGAAGTGATGCAACATTTTTTCGGCATAGAAATTAGTTGTCACAATAGTATTTGACGAGGCGATTATCGTACGTTCAACTTTGCATTGGAACGGCGCACATTACGTCAATTTAAGACGACTCTATAACGACAAAGGTTTCCTAACCTATACTGGGAGCGTGGTTGCTACGAAAATCCTGCCCCTACAGCCCGCGACAATATGGAGCCGATGAAGGACGCACATCAGAGGCAACAAGAACACGTCCTAGGTGTCACGCTAACAACTCCTAAACGACGATATTGTGCGTTTCTCCAGGAAACGCCCCGGCTCAGTACTAAAACGCAACAACGCGAGGCCAACCAAGCGACGCCCGACTCGAGAGTGGCTCAGCAACATCAACATCACTGTTTATGTTTACAATGGCGCATCGTCTGCTACGGGAGAGGCTGGGTTACACCATTAGAAATGGAAACGCACGATCCGAAAAGTGTCACTCTCAGGTGTTGCACGTATTGTCTTGTTTTCACAGCAAAATCACCATGAAAGAAAATGAACGACATTTTTGGGGGCCAGTAAACTTTATGTTCTTAACCTACAAGATAAGACCGAAGCTTTCGCGTGACTGTATGACTGTAGCTGAATAATACCTTTGAGTGGGCTATCTAAAGAATGTAATTTGTATATAATTATTTTGTATTAAGTCTGATATCGTATCAATATTTCATTGAGTATTTGTTATTGATAGCATTTTGCGTCTTGTTACTTTTCGATGCTTTTTGGCTTACGGCACGGCCTTTTTTTTTCGGGTGGTTTAATAAGGCGCTTCTGGAAACGCGCGAGATTTGCATTTGCAGTGCGCGGGATATGTTTGGCGGGAAATGGCAATGATAGGTTTTGTTGCCAGACCTTACAGAAATGTTAAAGTCTGCATTATGTAGACAAAATCTGGAACGAAACCATATGTTGCTCATATTTTCCTTTCCCTTCTCCATTTTAGGAAGTGTGATAGCAGGGGATGTTGAAAAGTAGGAGTAAAACACAATGTAGACATCAGATTCTTTTATCTCACTTTATTATGGAAAAGTATAAATAATCTGCAATGTTCTAAAGTAAGGTTCGTGTTGGATCACAGTTATATACAAAATAAATTAGTGTTTATTTTGCTGTTGGTAAATAACAGCCTTGGGCAATGAGTTTGAATCAGATAGAGAACAAACAAAGGATTGCTTTTTTTTCAGTCTAACAAAAGTGCATATTCAGAAGGGTTTTGGTTGGTGTTAACAGGTAGAACTACATCAACATTGATAATGCCATTGTTTTGATTTAGATGGTGTTTCTATTCTATGAATAAAGGCGCACAATTTCGTTGTTAAATAAAAGAAAGTCCTATTATACGCACTATAATTAACACAAAAGACATTAAAGTATTTGTACATGCCCATTAATTTATAAGTAAATTCTGATTTGAAAGGGGAAAAACATTTTCCTAGAGCAAATAAAAGCATAATCAAACACACAAAACCTATCACACCTCTCTGTTTCTTAAATAAAAAGGATCACTCAAAACATCATGTATTCGTCTTTTTTATGTTTCCTAATACTGTTAAACGAAGAATGTCGCGCTGTGGAGTTTTCCAACAGAGCTTGTAAAGCCGAAGGTTGTCCTGATACACATAAATAAATTAATAATAAGTTATGAACTGAAGGCAGGCGGGACTGGAGTTCCGAGAGGCCCATCACGAGATGCTGCGATAGTCGCGGTGGGCCTAACGGGAACTCACTTCATACCCTGCTGCAGTTGTGCCCAACAAAGGTGCTACAAATTACATCACAGGAGTTTCAAATCCGTAAACATGTTACCAGCACAGTAACAATACTTCAGTCAGAGCAGTACATTTAGATAATATACTTGCAACACATTTTACAAAGGAATGCAACATAAGACTACAGAGTCTTTTGAGCACACACTAAGACAATAATTGCTTTCGATGATTGTGTCATGGGATAGAGATACAATCAAGAAACTGCTTTCTATTCTACAGTTATCCTAATTTTGTAGCACACTGCATGTCTTCAGAAAGCATCTGAAAATAATCAAACTAAAAGTATACATCTTTTCAATAATAATCTTTAGAACAGAAGTTAAATAAATAATATTAAGGAAACTGTACGAGCAGCAGTTTAAAAAAACAAGAATTAGCTGAGGCATTCATTATGATCAGTTACCTAACATAGACTTCTATACCAAAATAATCCACTGAAATTCAAAAAAAAAAAAAAATTACTTGTCACTAAAATAAAAAATAAATAATCAAGAATAAAGATTAGTCACATTTGCAGTGGTCTATTAGAGGAAGCTAGTACAGTTAATGCGTACCAAGCCAAGATGAGCCTGTTTTGCTACCAAATCGCAAAAGCTTATGTTCCTGTAACCAGCCATAATCAACAGGTAATCCAAATTTTTTCGTTTTCCTTCTCTGTACATATCAGACAGTAGGGGGGTCGGAGATATGGACACTGCAGCAGGCTGTGCAGGGCTGAGCAGGCCCTGGACTTCCCTAGACGGGTG